GGCTGGGCAAGCCCCCTGTAGCTGACTCATCAGCTCGTCAGCAGTGCTGGCTGGTGCAGAGGGCAGTGCCATGTGCAAGGCCACCTCTCAGAGGAACAAGTCTTCTTTGAAGATTTTTTTCCCATTCTCCAGTTGCATGAGGGGAGCCTGAAGGGAGTTTTGTTCCTTAAAGAGCTCAGTTCCCCTTGGGTTATATTTTTCAGCATTAGGAACTTCCAGCCTTTCCTGTCCTGCTGTTCCTGGAGGACTCCCAGACCAGCTGAAGGAGCTGCTGCCCTGCAGCTGCAGAGGACACGGTGATGCCACACACCAGGAGCATCAGTGTGCGGCTCCATCACTGGAAAATCTGCTTTCCTGGCACCTCACGCTTCGCTCGCTACCCATCAGGTGCTGTGAAGGGCTTCCAGAAATACTGAGAGACTCCATCTTCCACCAGTGCCCACCGGTGAGGGTGCTGAGGACCGGCACCCTGGATCTTGCTTCCAAGGATCCAAGGATGCTGAGGATCAGTGCCCTGAAAATGCTTCCAAGCCTGTGGCAATGGCTTGGGGGAAGGCTCAGAGAAAACCTTCCCTGCAGGGGTTAACAGGCTCTTCCCCTCGTGCTGGCACACACCCTGTTTTTCGAGAAACAGTAGAGACTTTATAACCATCTTGGCAGGAGCCTGGAGGCACATATGGCTTTTATTACCTTTTCTTTTATTTTTGGGGGTATTTATTTCTATTTGCTGATAAGAAGACAAAGTTTCCAGCAGGCAGGGTGCTTCCTCTGCTTGGTGGGAGGGGAGCCTTGTGGCAGCTCCAGTGTGGGGCAGGAAGCAGAGAGGAGATGCCAGCGTGGGAAAGAGGCCACCTTGGCTGTGCACGGGAATTTTGGAGAGGTAAAACCTCCTGGCACCAGGGTGCAAAGTGGGACCTCCTGGATGAGCATGGAAACTCGAAGGGGGGGAGGATGAGGAGCACCAGGCAGGTTGTTGGCTTCAAGGTTAAGCTATTTGCTCGGGGTACAGGATAAAAAAGGAGGAGTTGGAAAAATTGCCAAGATCTTGACCAGAATGGGCAGAGATGCTGCCCCCAGCATGCTCAGCACTTAGGGCAGCATCTGTCTGGGGAGCTGGGAATAAAGGAGCACAATCCAGTTAGCAGGAGCTCCTCCAAAAGCTAATCCCTCTCACCGTCCCCTCGCGTTGCAGACACATTAAAGTAAGAAATATAATCCGTGACAATCAATCACCGCTGCGTCCTGGCTTTCTCTCCTCTTTATGCAGTGGCATAATGACTTTTCCACCAGTTTCTGGCAAGATAATTGAAATGAAATGGAAAATATTTTCTTACTTGTCATAAAATTTGCTGCCGGTGAAATAAGAGTAACTTTAACTCTTGGTGGCACAGCTCCCATCTCCTGTAATTGTCAGTCAGGGAAAGAATGCGGTGACAGAGGAAAAAACCCAGCCTGGATAAAGTAAAAGCTAGTTATGAATAATACAGAGATTTTTAAAAGTCTCATGAATACCTGTGGTCTTAGAAAATGCATTTTGTGAAGTTGCCTGGGTTGTGGGGTGTAATTAAAAGTCTCAGTGAGTCGGGGGGGACAACTCTGGCTGGGGCAGCGGCGCTTGGAAATGCCGGATCAGAGAGTTTGTACTTACTTTTCTGGGTGTTGGGTTCCAGAGATATCTGACACCAAAAAATATCAGAATAAGAGAAACGAGCAGCACGCTGAAGAGCAGCCCACAGATCTGGTATCTGGTGCAGGTCTTCTTTCGGGTCTTGGATACTTCTGCCTAATCAATGACAAAACAGCCAGAGCCAGAGGTCTGCTGGTGACGCGAGGAGCGACGGGCGCACCTGCGTGTCAGACACTGCCCACGCTGCCCAGCCGTGCGGGGCAAAGCCAGCCATGCACTTACGTCCGGGAAGCAGCGGTCCTGCGGGCTCTGCCGGGCCGGCCCTCCCATGGTCTCCTCCGTGTGCGAGGACGGGATCCCGCTCCGAGGTGGAGTCACAGAGGCTCTGGGCTGCACATGCAGCAGGGAGGGCTGGGGCAGGGCCACCCCCACCACGGCAGCAGCCAGCTTTCCCCTCAGCCTGCTGGGCCCCAGGCCCTCCTGCAGCAGTTGCTCTCTGCAGGGTGCAAGCAATTCCCTCACAGAATTCCTCTTCACCCTGTCCATTGGCTGTGTCCTGGGTCCCACCGGCTACATCCAGGGTCCCACCAGCCACAGCCAGGGTCTCACTCACCGCACCCATCAGCTGCATCCAGAGTCCCATCGACTGTATCCCGGGTCCCGTTGGTCACGTCCAGGCTCCCGATGTTTTTTTGCTCCTGCCCACGATGGCTGGAAGTGCCCAGGCTGTGCAAGGGCTCTCGGGAGCTCTGGGGATGCAGAGCTGCTGCTCTCAGGGGGCTGCTCAGCCATGCTCAGGGGGGCTTCTGCAGCAGTGGCAGCCTGAGAGCTGCAGCTGGGGCACCGTGTGGTGTGGGGACGTGGTGTGGCAGGAGGGACAGGTATGGGCGTGGGCATGAGCGTGCATGGGTGTGCATGGGTGTGCTTGGGTGAGCCTGTGCTCACAGCCAGCCCTCAGCAGCACGGTGGGAAGCCCAGGCTCTCCTCATGGAGGCTCTGGCATCCCACGGCAGCTTTGTGCAGAGCCTTGCCCCAAAGTCAGCCTAGTCAGGAATTTCCTGACTAATTTTTTTCTATCCTCAAAAATTTCCATTTGTTGAAATCGTATCATTCCTTCATGGAAATGAACCCATCTTAAGAAGACTTTCAGAAATCCAGCGTGAAGTTTCTAGTCTGAACAGGATGAGGCTCCCTGGTGTAGAGGAGCTGGCATGCACTGGTTTTCCAAGCTGCTTATGCTCATAAAAAACTCAGAGTGCATCATGGACTAATTAAAATTGTGCTGAAAAGAAGAAAACCCACATCGAGTTTCGCTCAGGGTGAGAAGCAGAGACAAAAATTGCTTTCAGCAGGTCCAGCACTGACTTTGTGAGTGTGTGTGGGCATTGCCTGCTGCAAGCTGGGGGTATAACCAAGTGAGATAGAAGCAGAGCTGCTGAGTTGCTTGTGAAAAGTGTTGCACACACGTGTGTGCAGGGTGGGGGTGTGCCCTGGTGTACTGGTCCCTGCAAAGGGGTTTGGGCTCTTCGCCCTTTCCTTTAACTGGGTAGCAATTTCTCAGGGGTGTAAAACACATCAGGGGGGTTTTAATATTTGAGAGGCCAATAACAGCAGGGAATTATATTGAGGAGTGAAAGGCAGCAGGTTATTTGGAGGGGCAAAATAACTTTTAAATGGAAAACAGCTTTTGAAAACATCTGAAGCATTTTGGAAATCTATACACAGCAAATCTGTGCAGACACCCAGTTTGTCTTTCTCCACTTTTCACCAGAAAGTTTCACCTCTGAAGCTTTTGTTATTCACTGGAGACTGGAGTATCTTAAAACCTTTGCTTTTCCTGTCAAAATTACCTTTTCAAAGGAAAACTTTGGAGCAGCTCTACTGAAAGAGGGTTGTGATTACAGGAAAGAATTACAGCAGTGCTGTTAAGCAGCCATAATTGATCAGCAGAGCAGCGATCTTCATAATATGCCCCACTCCAGGCACAGGAAACACTGCAAATACCACTCATAAACCAAATTAGGCATTATTATTTTATTACTGTTGTAAGGTAAATGTCAAGCATTTT